GTTGTAGAACATCTAATAAAGTAATCCTACTCCAGGATTTTCAAGGTCTGAAGACATTAATGTGAACTAGGCATCTCTAAGTTAGAGGCAGCAGACAGCACTCTCCAAACAAACCTGCTTAGCCATAAACCCTTATCTTATAGGGCATATCAACAGACTCGTGTTCTTCTGAGCCCTTTCTCAGAAAAACATATTTTTTTCCTCCCTTTCCAGAGAAATATATTTTCTGGAAATGTAAATTGTATACCTGCCAAATGGCAACAGAATCTAACATAAACCTATCCAGCTATATACATAAATGCTTAACAAAAAGTGGGAATAAGTATTTACACAGCAAAGCGTTTACCTGATAGTAAAAATTTTCAAACTACAGTATTAAATGAGTAAATAAGGGAGTCCTTGTTACTAAGCTGATTAGATTCTGAAGTCTAAGAGAACAATTAAACGCTATAAGGGCGCCATACAGACTCTGATATGAGTCTTTCAGAAGCACATGGGCCCAGAGAGAGAGAGCTATAATAGAAAAGACTTCTTGGGGGTCAGAGAGGCAGCTGCCTATGGATGGGATGGGAATCTGATATGTCACTAATACCAGTTCTATAAGCATCTAAGCAGTATACAAAAACACATGTCAATATGATGCCACCAGGATTTGGATTTTTACGTCAAAATGCAAAAGCATCCTCAGACACACAGTGCAGAAGCACTTAAGGACTCTGAGAAGATTTCTAAGATCCCGTGCATAAATCTGGGGAAAGCGGAGGAAGGACTTTAGTATGAATTGATTATTTTGCCACTAGGGATAACTCTTTTTCTAAGGCAGAGGAATGCTTCAGGCAGCTCAACCACAATCTAGGCTACAGGTAGACAGCAAAAAAAACTACCAAGGAAATTTTTTTTTTAAGTGGTAAAAAGAATGACTGATTTGGACCACATTTACCTGTCAAACTGCCCATTTAGGGAATTCTAAAACCAGGAAGAGCACCTAAGTAACACCAGTGTTACATTTATTGACAGGCTTGCTGCTAGTCGAACTCGGGGTGAAAGGCAACAATAATACAGAGAGTACAGAAATGCAACTATAGAAGAATGGATCCCAGCTTTAACTTGGAAGGGCAAATATTTTGGCCTACGCTCAAAGGAAAGTGGGAAATACTTATAAAATACATACCAATACTGTAGCCACGTTATTTGGAAAAGCCTTTGCCAGGATAGAAGAAGATGCAGTCACTGCTGCAGCAAAGCTAACTGCATCCATTACTCTCACTAGAAAACACATAGCAATAAATACTGGTCCATCTGGAACTCGGTCCAATACACTAAAAAGGAATAAGACAATTCTCAAATGTCAAGCTAGTTTTCATTTTTTTCCTTTTTAACTGTACTCACTAAAAAGAGTAGTACCTCACCCATAGTTATTAGAATAAATCACTTTAGAATATAATTTTTTAAAAAAGAGTTGCTTTGCTGTCTTTTCAGTAGGAGAAATTACCCTTTTTCTTTTTTTGGTAACAATTTGAGTCATAACAACAGCTTAGTTGCCCTGTTCTGCGATATAACTGGTCCCCCAGATGATAGTACCAAATAAACCTTTCCAGAATATGTAGAATCGGTGTGGTGACTTATGCCTGTAATTCCAGCACTTTGGGTGGCCGAGGCAGGCATATGCCCCGAGGTCAGGAGCTAGAGACCAGCCTGGACAACATGGCGAAATCCCATCTCTACTAAAAAATACAAAAATTAACTGGGCATGGTGGCAAGCACCTGTAATCCCAGCTTCTTGGAGGGTTGAGGCAGGAGAGTCGTTTGAACCTGGGAGGCGGAGGTTGCAGTGAGCTGAGATCGCACTACTGCACTCCAGCCTGGGAAACAGGGCAAGACACCGTCTCAAAAAAAAAAAAAAAAGAAAAAGAAGAATAACATGTAGAATCACTCTGACAAGACCCATATAGAAGAAAGAACTCAGTTTCAGATCTCTCCCATGGTAGGACTCAAACCAAAAAAAAAAAAAAGGAATAAAGAAAGAAAAAAAAAGACCCTTCCAAAAATTTTTTAACCCCATTTCATTTAACAGTTTTCTTGAGTTTACTTCATTATAATCTTACTATACTGTTATTCCTCTGTGTTCCCATGTACTTATATAAGCTCTTCCATATTCTTTGGCATTACGCTGCTGGTTTAAGAACTCTAAGCTTAAGAACTTTCACATCTGTTTTGTCACTGGCACTCATTTTTCCTTTTTCGGGAAGTAGCAATGGGGGAAACCATTCTATTCTATGCTCTGAACTGAGCATGTGACCTGGCCTGGTCAAGCAGAACATTCTTTCCCCCTGGCTACAGCCATCAGTAAAGGGTCAGGTCAGTGGGGCTTCATTCTGTGACTCTTATAGGAACTACTAGGCAACTGGCACTTTCTACTGAAACTGCTAGGGGTCACCTTGCCACCTAAAGGGGAGAGCTTGTTCAAATCACAAGAGGAAAAATGTCTCATGACATCGTTTCAAATCTGTATTCTGATATTTTTTGAGTTGACACTTTATTAAAGAAATTCACTTTTTTACTAAAGCTAGCACGTTTCCGTAACTCAGAAAAGTGAGTTAAGTTTCTGTCACTCACAATCACAGGAGTCCTAATGAATAGGTTCAGTAGCAAGCATCAAGGAGATCCCCCAGAGGCCTGTTTCCTTAAAATCAATGCCATTTATCCCTGTTCTGTACTTACTCAACTTCTGCCATTAGTCACATGCTATGCATTTGACAGACAATAATGGAACCATTGACTTAAAGAACCTTTAACAATTTAAACAGAAGATAGATTACGAAATCTGTTCAAGCTCCCAAATATAATCAGAAAATGACTTACCCAAAGAGAATTGTAACTCCTCCTGAGACAAACATTCCTGCTACAAACATAAATTTTGCTCCAATATGTACAAGCTATAATAGATGTCAAAGAAGAGTGGTAAATTTATGACTTCTGAAAGTCTATACTGATAGAAACAAATCCACTGTATTGGAAAATATAGGATGGGGGAAGACATGTACAGTTAATATATTATAATTCTTTAATATAGTGACAGTACTCATTGCTTAAAAACATGGAAAGAGTTAAAAATCAATCAAATCTGAGGAGGGAACTGTCAACAGTGGCACAATTTATAAAATTATAACCATGGTTATTTCAGTATCGATGCAAATTCTAGACTAGTAAACTAAAATAATTCATCATATAATTTTTAAAAATTAAGATGTGTATATGAACTTTATACTTACATAGTTTCCAAATACCAAGCATGCCAGCAACTCGAACAAAGCAAAACATCCAAAGATCATACCGATAATCATATTGCTGGTTCCCTTCTTTTCAGCCTTTAGGTAATAGAAGTGGAAACAAAGTTTCAAAGAAAAATTAGCATCAATATGGAAAAATGGGAATAATAGATCAGAGCATCATCTTCTTGTGAACTTTATCTGCATATCAGTTTCAAAAAGATTATTCTTTTAAAATAAATGGGGTGGGGAAGGAAGGGAAACTAGTAATAGTTTAGATAGTAAACCATAGTCTCTTACATGAAAATAATTCACTCACCATGCCTATAAAGAATTGTTAGCTTTAGCTGGCAAAAGTCAGAATTAGAGTGTATAAACAAACACAAAAAATGCCTTGGATAAGGAAATTTGGGCTCTATTGCATAGTCACAGGACCGAGGAAACAGCTGATTTAGACACACTTCCTTTTGGGTATCACATTTAATTTTAGGAAACAAACAAAAAACACTGGCCAATGTTCAAACTCAAGAATAGGAAGTTCCATGAGTTGGCACATGGGTCAGACCAAGGCCCAATCAGTCTAGGTCTCTGTTTCTGACAGTAATACCAATTACCTGACAGTTTGGAGAAGACAGTTTTCCTTCCTGTCATCAACAACACAGGTGAGAGATGCTCCCCTGACATTCTACGTTCTCCTGAAACAGCCAAGGTAGTTTATCATCCATCAATTACAGTTACTAATGTTTATAGCCTATTCTATCAGTGAGCTCCTAAGATTTGCTACAGGTAATATTTATCCTAAATCTACTTCTTTTGAACTTAAAATGCTATCACTGTGATACACAACTACATTCACATATAAAAATAGAAAGTTTAAAAAACTTTGTCAAGTCCTGGAACTACGGCAGATCCTTAAATCAGATTCTAGCTATAGAAATTTAAGGAATCAAAATACGAGTTTAATTTCTTTAAGATAGGACTGGCCACTTAGCATACTACAAAGGGAAAGCCTGAACTGTCATATATTGACCATCTTGTATATATAAGGCATTGTACCAGCAGTGAATATTTATGGTCAGAAGAGTCCAGTTTAGATCCATCCTTTAGGCAGAGCTTTGGATTTTCGCAAATAACTTCATAATTAATATAGAAATGCACACATGCACACACACTTTTGCACTCTTCAACATCCATTCTCTACAACCATGATTGCCTTTCTTTACCTTTTCTCTCTAAGTACAATTTACGATAAAAATTTTCTCCATCCCTTCCCATGTAAAGATACTATCATCATTCAATCTTTGTCTTTTTCAAGGATGTTTTTTCCCATGTCAGACTGTGCCTCTTTAAATAAACCATACATTTCTCATAGCATCATACCACAGGAAGCCAGAGAAGTGAACTCTGTTGTTCTAAGCTAAATTTTAGGAAGGGCCTCCCTCTTACTCTAGGAAAAGTCCTCAGAAATGTCCCTAAGCACTTGGTGGTGCGTGAAGGCAGAGAGGATGGGCCCACAGCTCCACAGTAATGGCTTGGGAAAGATTTAAGCCCCTAATTCTTGGGCTTCATAACTAGCCATTCCCTTTCCATGTACTAATAACCACAGGAAATAACGGTGTGGATACGAGAGAGTTCATTAAAATACCTTTAATGGCACTGTAACAAATGGTTATGCTGTACATCGACTGGAACATGAGGTCTACATTTCAACTACACATGGGTCAGGATCCTCAAAAAGAAAATGTTGTGAAAGGAGTCAATTAAGGCATAAGAAAAATATTCATGCTGGGCACAGTGGCTCACACCTGTAATCCCAGCACTTTGGGAGGC